TAGACTTGCGTTTCAGGCTAATAGAATCTTTCAATAATTTAAAGACAACATGGCAAGACCAGATATTCGGATCGTTGTTGCTATTGGTATCTATAATATTAACATGTTTTTAGAAATATTGAGGCAGTTATACTAATCGATGCGATATTTTATAATTAGATTTTGGAACGACCTTTTCAGGTCGGGGAAAAAAATTTTTTTTTTACAATTTTGATTGTTATTAAACAAATTAATCAATCTTTTATGGCTTATAGGATTTGCATATTCAAACAAGATTAATCCAGAAACTATCACCAATGATACAGTAAGTTGAAAATTTGATCATACTCAAAGGCAGTGTTGGACACCAAGTTATTTTTATAAATTTAAAAATATCGATATAGGTTGAATGGATCTGTTTTATGTCCATTATCCAATTTGATTAGTGTTCAACATTGTGAGAATGGGTTATTTTCAGATTTTTTTATTTTTTATTTTTATACAAAAATATATTGCTAACGAATTAATCATTATTTTTATAGTGGTATTATATACACGCGATTTGAAATTTTTATTAGAAAAGATGATATTAAAATAGTTTAAATAATCGATAATTTTCAATATTAGGCCAGAGCAAGCAGGAGTATTTAAAACCAACACTGTATTAGCGTATGACGACAACCTACAACTTGTAGCCTGGGGTTATCCAGCCCTGGCTCAAGAACCTCCAAAGAAAAAAAAGGCGTTAGCTAAGCCGCAGCCTAAACCAGTAGAATTATTCAAATTACATCTTGCTGGTATAAAGGAAGAAGATAAACCACCACTTCCTCCAGGTTTAGATGCAAAGAGGGTCATTACTGACTATTTACATGAGATGAATAAAGTAAATAAATAATTACTTACTCTGCATAAACTATTTTAACGATTTACTCTTAACTAATTTTATGGCAATCATTTTTCATGTTTTAGCTCATTTTAGAAACATTAAATTCTCGATGGCCAGGTGATGTCATAGATATTTTATTATTATTCGAAATAAAAGGGGAGTATGAATTTATTTAAGCATGATTTTAAATATATAGGTATACGGTATCCTCAACAAGTTCGCTTTGTGGTATCTGTACCTGCTGAATGGTTAGTAATTCATTCTGATGGTTGATTTATCTAACGTGTATGCTAAGTATCAATATTTAACTACTTTTTCAATATATGATAAAGGCAATATGAAGCGAAGGCAATTATGAGAGAGTGTATGTATAATGCTGGTTACTTGGAACATAGGCAATCAGAAAATTTAGAGTTTACAACTGAACGTATGTAAATAATAAAGTTTACTTAATTTATTGAATTTATAATTGACTTGCATATATGCACATTTATAACATACGCATTTCACCGTTTTATTTTTAGCCGAAGCCGCTGCAATTTACTGTATGAAAACTTTAAATGAGCATCATTTATCAGTTGGATGTAAATATATTTTTATTATTATATTTATTATTTACTTCATCTATTAATAAATATCGTGCGACTATAACACCAAAAAATTTTTTCATCCTAGCATCATTCTTAATTGTTGATTGCGGAGGAGGTACTGTGGATCTTACAACCAGAACTTTATTACCCGGCATGAAACTTGGTGAAATTACTGAACGTAGTGGTGATCTATGTGGTAGTTCTTATGTTGACCGTGAATTCCTCAAGTTCCTTGGTCGAAAATTAGGATTCGCTGCAATGAAAAAACTAAAAGAAAATCACTATGGACAAATGCAATATTTGGTCCAACAATTTTGTTCAAGAGCAAAA